TTTGGATGGTTTGAACATTGTATCATTGCATATTTATTAATAAAGAAGTCTTTCTATTAATTTATTTTATTTATAACTTGATTAAATTAGATAAAAGTCTATATGATATTCATTGCTTTGGTGATTGATCAATAGATGTGAGACAAACACCAATGCACTTAAATAAAATCATTAAATGTCTTAAGTCATAGCATTGTCGAAATTAGACATTGATGTAAGACTTCGTGTGCTATGCTCATGTTATAGGATATTAAGAAGAGATCTCACACCTACTGGTATAGTGATGCCTAAACAAGCACACAAGTGAATGATGCTTAGAGAACATATCACTTGATGTGGCTCATCATGAGAACCTATTTGGTATAGTCTATGCTCATGCTATAAGCTATCAATAAGAGATCTCACACTTACCGGCATGGTAATGTCTAAGCAAGCACACGAGTGAATGATGTTAAAGAACATATCACTTGATGTGGTTCATATGAGATAGGTATAAGTAGTTCTTTTGTAATGACTCGAACTACTATTAAATAGAGTAAAAATATATTAAAGGTATGAGAGAATTAATTCATGGACATGGAATGAATGTTGTGAGGTTGCTAGAAAACTCGCAGTAGTTAAGATAGTTTTTCCATGTTCGAGTAAATATTTTACGGATTTTTCGATGCATGAATAGTGATTTTTTATGTGAAATAATTATTTTAAGTTAAATATGCATGAAAAATATTTTTTATATATATAGAATATTTGCTAGAGAGGTGTTAGATTATTCGATGCCATTGGATGAATTTTCCGATGTTCCGTGATTATTTTATTTGAGCTTTAAAGGTGTAAGAAAATTATTCAATGAACATAGAAAAATTAGGGTGTGTAGGAATATTCCATGAACTTGGTTGAATTTTTCTATGCATGGGAAATATTTTCTATAGAAATAATTGTATTTCTACACAAAATAATTAATTTGAAGGCCTAAATAAGTGTATAAAAATTATGTGAATAATGATTAAATTATTTTAGGAGGTTTTTGAATTTGTTATGAAAAGAAATTAAATTTTGGAAAGGTATGGAATAAAATTTTAGAATTAGGGACCTAATTGCTAATTGCATAAAATTAAAAGCTTGAGCTTTCAAATTAAATTGGATGTGAACTTTAGGAATTCAAAAGTTGTTAAGAAACCTTTAAAGGAAGGACCTAAAATAATCAATTGAATAATTGAGGGACTTATGAAGGAGCAATTAAAAGAAGGAATAGTAACTTAAAGGAAAAAAAATTAAGCAATTTTTAGGAGAGAGTCCTCCCCCATTTTGCTGACTTAGCATGCATGATTGGGGTTAATTAATGAGGTTTGACTAAGCCTAAAAGGAAGGGTTAAGATTAGGCTAAATGGAGGACTAAAATTAAAAGGAGAATCAAAGGCTAAGATAAAACCAACTGAAAGGACAAGATTTAAAGATGAATTAAGGGCTAGGATTCCACCAAACTAAGGGTGGATATTAAGTCAAAAGTCCACCAAAATTTTACCTATAAATATGGGTGGTAGAAAATAGAAAAATACAAGGGAAACTCTTGAAAACTTTCCATAGGAATTCCATCCAAATTTCTCCAAACCACCTCTACATAGTCTAAACCACATAATTAAGCAAAGAATTCAAGCTAGAAGGTCAAGAATCACCAAGGGAAAAATTTGGAGTTTGGGCCGAAATATAGAGGAAAAAAAGGGAAGAAATTGCAAGGAAGTTTTACTTTTCAAAGGTTAATTGGAGCATATCTAGGTAATATAATTTCACCTACATCACAAGAAATGTTTAATTGATGTCAATTGATGGTTTGGTGCTCTTAATTTATGTATAATTACCTTAATTTTGAAAATTAGGGTTAGGGTTCTTAGTTGGAAAAAATTTGAAAAAAATGATTTTGAGTTTGAAATTCATGAAATTGAACTTAAAGCATGTCAATTGAGCTTGAAATTGATGAATAAAAATAAAAAAAAATTCCTAGGGTTAGGAGAGAGAAAGCATTCGGCCCAAATTAAGAATTTTAGGATTTTTTATGCTTTGCTTGATTTGATGATTTATCACTTGATTATAGGTTAATTAGGTATGAATTGATGATTGAGTGTGAAAAATGGCATTAAAAATGAAGACTTTTCCTTGATTTCCTTAAGAGTGCATTCGGCCCAAAACTTGAAAAATTAGGGTTTTGATTATTCCCTTTCTTACTTAATGAATTATTGGTTAATTTGGAGTTAATTAAGTATGATTTTATGAATGAGAATGAGAAATTTCATAAAAAATAAAGAATCTCACCTAATTAGCTTAGGCGCCATATTCGGCCCAAAACCAACAAAATTAGGTTTTTGTTCCCTTTGTTCAATGGATGAATTATTGGTTAATTAGAATTTAATTAAACATGAATTGATGAATAAAGATGAGAAATTCCATTGAAATTGGAAAACTAATCTAGATTACTCAAATTAGAGTTTCGGCCCATTAGGCCCAATTTAGAGTTGTTGATGTAATTTATTGCTTAATTGTGTAATTGGTGTTTTTATGATGATCTTGGATAGATGTTTGTGCTTGAAATATGAAATGGGATGTTTATGCACATTTGTGTATGTTTATGGAAGATTATGTAATGTTCAAATCTTTATCATTATTGAATCATATTGTGAATGGTGACTTGTTATGGTGCTACGAGGTGATGGATATATGATTTTAATGTAAATGATGATTGATCGGTCACGTTTGACAAGGTAATCGTTATGGTGCATTTATAATATTAAGTCATCCATATTCATGACATAAATGCACACATTCATGGCATGCATTATATGGAATTAAAATGATTATGCATTAGCATTAAAATGCATATGCATGCCAAGTCAAGGAAAAAGTTTATGAAAATGATTTAAAGTCATGAAAAAGATAATTTTATTTCAAGGCATTTTTCAATAATAATTGGAAATATTTCATAGTTATAAGGTTTTCATGACTTTTATGGTTTTATGAAAAGGATTCCCGGGTTCCATGACCTTCATGATTCATGGTTTACATGAGTTGAGTGGATTAGACATGCACCAAGGTTCGATGCGTTTGTAGACTATTTTGGTTTGCCAAACATATCATGGAAACCCCGAAGTTTCTATAATGAGATGTGTTTAAAGACAGTAAAATAATTTTCAAACTTGAAAAGTTAGGGTTTTGATTGCCTTGTTTACTTAATGAATTAGTGGTTAATTTGGAGTTAAATAAGTATGATTTGATGAATGAGAATGAGAAATTTCATAAAAATTAAATAATCTCACCTAATTAGTTTAGGCCATATTCGGTCCAAACCAACAAAATTAGGGTTTTGATCCCTTTGTTCAATGGATCAATTATTGGTTAATTAAAAGTTAATTAAACATGAATTGATGAATAAAGCTGAGAAATTCCGTTGAAATTGGAAACCTAATCTAGATAACTCAAATTAAAATTTTTGGCCCATTAGGCCCAATTTAGGGTTCTTGATGCAATTTATTGCTTAATTGTGTAATTGATGTTGTTATAATGATTTTGGTGTGATGTTTGTGCTTGAAATATGAAATGGGATGTTTATGCACATTTGTGTATGTTTATGGAAGATTATGTAATGTTCAAATCTTTACTGTTATTGAATTGTATTGTGAATGGTGACTTGTTATGGTGCTACATGGTGATGGATATATGATTTTAATGTGAATGATGATTGATTGGTCATGTTTGACAAGGTAATGGTTATGGTGCATTTATAATATTAAGTCATCCATATTCATGACATAAATGCACACATTCATGCATGCATTATATGGAATTAAAATGATTATGCATTAGCATTAAAATGCATATGCATGCCAAGTCAAGGAAAATAGTTTATGAAAATGATTTGAAGTCATGAAAAAGATAATTTTATTTCAAGGCATTTTCCAATAGCAATTGGAAATATGTTATGGTTATAAGGTTTTCATGACTTTCATTATATTATGAACGGGCTTCGTGGGTTTCATGACCTTCATGGTTCATGATTCATGGTTTACATGGGTTGAGTGGTGCAAACATGCACTAAGGCTCGACAAAACGTATCTATAGACTATTCTAGTTTACCGGACATATCATGGAAACCCTAAAGTTTCTACAATGGCATACGTCTAAAGGCAAAAAAGAATTTTCAAATTATTCATGATGAGGATTTTATGACGAGCATGCAAAAAACTATCATATGCATTTCATTTACATGTATCGCATGCATAGATTAACATACCGAGTTATCACTCATTTAGTTTCTTGTAATGTTGACAATACATGTAAAAATGGCAATATTCACTGCGTGCATAGATTTATCCCGTTTCTTCAAAAAAAATGATGGTGATGATGATGATTTAACGGACAAAATGTTTTTTTTTTTTTAACTTGCTTTTTTCTTTCTTATTTCCTTTTTTTTTTTTTTGGACAAAGTAAAAGTGTAACATGTGTTTACCTGATCATTTCGGCGTAATCCACTTTTCTATAACTTACTTTCTATCTTCTACTAATTTCTGCTTAAATTAACTCTCTGGACAATCTTTTCTCAATTTTTTAAAAAAAAAAAAAACAATTTTAAGTTTGAAACCCAACGTATCTTGGTTACATCAATTGATTTGAAACAACTCCCCTAACCCTAAGGTATTATTTTACCCCTTACTAAATTTCCTACAGATCTTAGGTGAAATTACCACTGATATTCAATTCATCAGCTCTGTTAGTGTAAGACGATGATTTTTTACAGTTCTTCCACGAGACCATAGCTTTAATGAGCGTCTCACGTAACTGCCTAACATTGGAATGAGAAGAGGGGGATTTTGTATGACAAATTGTAATATGGACAGCTACCCATAACACGAACAAGAAGATGAATTTTTCATATATATATGCACTCTGCCTTCCTACAATTCAATTACAAGGCCAATCTTTTCCTCATCTAGTTAAATCCAAAAGAAAGAAACATGAGCAATAATCAATCAAATTTCAGAGTGTCATCATGGCTAACTTTGGGTTGCATTGCTTTCCTACAAGCCGTAAGTGCCAGCCGCTCGGTTTTCTCTGCATGCTCGTCCCTGATGGCACAAAATTACCGCATCTCTCATGTGCAACTCAACAATCTTATAGTTGCTTCAGAAACAGGAAGGCTATTTGGTTTCATATCGACAGCTGCTGCTGCCTACTTTCCTGCATGGCTGATCCTGTTCATTGGCCTGGTTTTTGGATTGGTTGGTTACGGTGTGCAGTGCCTTTATATTGCGCATAGATTTCCTGCTCTATCTTATTGGCAAGCTTTATTGCTACATACTCTTGCAGGGAACAGCAGCTGCTGGATCAATACTTACTGTCAATTGTTAGCCACAAGAAACTTCAAGGACAGTTACCGCACCATAATCGAAATAACATCTACTTATTCAAGGTTGAGCGGAAAGATATTGACTTCTTTAGTTGAAGGAATTGAAGGACGGAAAGGTTCTACAAATTCCAGTATCTATCTGCTCTTGACTTGCCTGGTTCCTGCTGTCGCTGGTTTAATAGTTGCACTCGTTCATATTAGTTTCAATTTCAGGGAATATGAGGACTCCGACGTGTTTCCGGCTGTCTTTGTTCTCGTCATTGCAACTGGAGTGTATGCAGTAATCGAATCTGTTGCACCAGCTTTCAAGCTTTTGTCCTTGCAATTACGAGCAGTGATTTTGGTGTTGGTGTTAACAACACCATTTACGATTGCACTGTTGACGGCAGTCGCACACCGATTTTCAGACGAGAAATATCACTCTCAGGTGATGCGAAAGGAGTCTTGTGATTCAAAACCTGTAAAGGTATCCAAAGAAGTCCATATTGCAATAGGTAAAGGAGGAGAAGTTGATCAAAAGGCAGGAGGGGAGGTTGACTGTAACGAGAAGGGCTTGTTTACGACAGGAAATGAGCCTGGTATGAAACAATTACTGTTAAATGTGGATTTCTGGATGTTCTATTTGGTGAATGCATGTGGACCTACACTGGGAATGGTGTATTTAAACAACCTGGAGAGAATCACTCAATCTCGCAGCATAGGTGAAGCATCATTTCTATTGGAAATATCCGCTGCATTTGGCTTTTTCGGAAGAATCTTCTTTGTCATGTTCCACTGGTATACAAGGTTTGAGCATTTTCTACCAACTAGTAATTTTACTAATCTCACTGCACCTTTCATATAAGATACAATAAGCATATTTACGTTCATGAATATATTTTCCTTTTTTGATAATATATTTGTTTAACCAGGGAAAAATCAATAATAGCCAACCCAGCATTGACGGTGCTCCTAATGATCCCCATGCCCATAGCTGTTTTCTTGCTCCTTGACGGCAACACATGCTTATACATTAGCACCGGAATTTTGGGAACTTGTTCAGGAGCCATAATTGCCATAAATTCAACGACAACATCGGAGCTGTTCGGTTGCAAGAACTTAGTTGTGAAACAAACCATTGTTCAAACAAACATTTCCTTAGGCACCCTGCTTTTTGGGTACTTGGCTGCTATTAATTATGAAAGGGAAGGTGCTGGGTATCATGGAACATGCATAGGGCAGCAATGCTATCACAAAACTTTCATCATCTGGGGATCCATTTGCTTTATAGGAACAATTCTAAGTTTTCTTCTGCATCTGCGCACACAGAATTTCTATTCTCAAAAATCCTAGTGTTGGCAGTTGAAGACTATTGTCCATGTGTCTTCTTAGGATGATTAATTATCAATTCATCTAGTTCCACTGAGATTAGGTTTTGGGAGAGGATTTTGTTACATACTATATTTTTGTATCTTAGCATAGAAGTGTAGTGCATCAAGACTTGATCCAAGCAAAATTGTAGATGTGAAATTAATGTTTATTTTTTGTATGAGCCATTAAATACACTTACAAATTCATTCTGTGCTACTATGACATCACATCATCACATATATCACAGCATCCCACAACTAAAATTCATTTTCAAAACCACCCATCCCCATGTGTTAAATCTTATACATGACATGGAGTAGATAACTCCTGTCTAAAGAGAGGAATTTCATAAAATGCTCCTACTTTCACTTCTCTATACAGAAATGATACAACTATGTCACCTAGACAGAGGAAAAAAAAAACAAAAAGAAACCCAAGGGCATTTCACTACCTATACTCGATAGCCAAGCAAACAAAATGAACTGGTTTAACTCCACTTTATCTTAAATGACAGATTTTGGTTGGGTTAGAAAGTTTACCAAGCATGCTTATGAATTCCAGATCTATTTCAATGAATTAATGGTTTCAGAACGAATTTGCCAACTTTAGCAATAGTGCATTTTGTTCCCATGTTTATAGGTCATGATAACTGTCGTTTTCCTCAAGAACCAAGAGCTGCTTATAAAAACTGAGCTAAGCATAACATTTCTGGGATAAACTATGCTCCTAAATCATGATATTTGATGCAAGTATACTTACATCTATTTGCAGTGATCACCTAGGACACTGTTATTCAGAAGAACTAACATGACCTTTTTTTGGGATAAATGATGCTCATAAATCATGAGATTTGATACACGAATACTAACATCTCTTTGCACTGTCATATATGAACAATCTTATTTTTCCACACATGAATTACACTAAATGTTCGGTAGTCCTTTTACCCAAGAGAAAATATGCGGTAATAGCAATTAACATACTTCTAAAACTAAAGGGAGAGATGTAATTATAATTAATGTCAATAAAATCACCAAACTTCATTCAATAAACACAAAATTAAAATAAAAGGGTTAAAATTCATTTCGTCAACAGTATGTATATGAATTTGTAAGGGATGGTAAGAAGGACATATATGGGCATGGATTTCTATAACCCCTTCACCTTAAACTAAAAAAGACTGTAAAAATGAACTTTTAAATTAAACAAGCAAACCAATATCAGCTGTTCTGCAGATGGTATATATATTTTCCTTGATATCCTTATTGACTCAAGTTGAGGATTTTCGTTGGTAGAGCAATTCTGACATGATATACTGACAATGATGCAAATTATTGGTTGTACAAAAAATCTGCCATTGGAAGGGCTTGTACTCTTGTCTATAACTACTACATAAACCAAAAGAGATTTCTACCTGCAGTGATACGGGTAAATTCAGGCTGCTTTCTTCTTCCCGAACAATAAGCTCAATGAGTATGTATTGCCTTTTTGCGCAGCAGCTGCTAATCGATTTCCACCAATCTAAGTCATGTCAACCACAAATTCTATTCAAGTGGTGTTCAAAATGATGAAAAATAATAAACGTTAACAGCTATTGATTGCATGGCTGTGCAAGAAAACTGGATTCACAAGGTATGATAGTGCAGTTGAAATTAGCCCTTAAATATTTAAGTGGAACATATTGTTATGAGAAAATACCTTGTCCATGAGCCAATACCCAACAGTTGGCATGTACTGCACCAAATACAGAACAGCTAGCACAGGCTGAAAGATGGAAAAAAAAATATTAATATTTGCATATAACTATTATAGCAAGAAAATGCAAGAGCTTTGACAGCATATTCTTACACATGAAACTAAAGGAAATGTGCGTATATGCACATTCCATTGCAAAATCACAAGAGTAATAAAGAAAATATGTTAGAAAATGCTAGTTTATGAGGAAGAGTGTCCTCAAAATTTGAAAGTTAAAAGCATATATAATTTAATTCCTTGTAACAAAACTTTAGCATTTGAACATAACTAAGAACGCTCTATAGATGATAATAAAGTTGATAATATACGTAATTTCAGTGGGAAATTTTGTATCAATCAAGAACTCCTCACATTCACAATTTCAAGGTGTTGCCCCATGGTAAAAGGCTAGTTGACCACTCTAGAAAGGAGAAATGTATGGTCTCAAATTTGAAAGTTTAAAATAAAATCCAGAATTCTATCATCATTCCCCAACTCCTCATATTAACAGTCATTCCAAAGTGTTGCCCCCATGGTACAGGCAGCATCTCTGTTTCTGAGAAGCATTTTATATCATTTGTTGTCGTGATAGAGTCATATCTATAAGTCAGATTAATATATTAAAAATTGCTAGTATCAATTTAAAACCATGGTTCCCTGAGGGGTACCTGAAATATATTAAACACTGATGCAGATGAGAAAAGACTAAGATTTATGTGTTTTATTTAAATTTTAGGATACAAGGATATTTTAGTAATTTTCAGGTTTGCTGGAAAATCTGGAAATTGTATGGGTCTAGGCTTTATTTATGTTTAGTATTTTTTTTTTTTTTTAAGTCCTAAAGTTATTAGGTTTTCCTACATTAAAATAGGAAGAGTTATAGGTTTTCCTATTCTAAATAGGAATAGTTATGTTAGAGGTTTAGAAATCCTTGTCCTGTAGGATTTGGAGTTCTACAACTCTATAAATACAGGATGTAGTCTTTTAATATTTTGAATGCAATAACATCAGATAATTTCCATCAGTTTGCTTTTGATTGTATGACTCAATACCCTCTTAGATGTTACTCTTACAAACCCTAGGTGTGACCCCCAGAAATATACCCACATATTTCCTCATATCCAGAAAACATGCCAAAGGAAATCTATAGAGGAAAAATTGATCTTTAGTGCATGTATAGTTGACAGAAACATAGAGAGTTCTTTACCCTGATTCTAGCTCATAAACACCCGGCATTCAAATTAATCATTCATGCTCATTACACATACACATTTATACTGATTGCTTTAGGTTTGAAGCTGTTACTCTCACTTTACTTTTATCAGGCACACTTAACATAACATTAATCAGATAGTGAGGCAAGTTAACTTGAGTTTTGCGACTCTAGCTATTTTTTCAGAAACCAGATCACTGAGGCCAAAACCCTAACCTATCAAAAAAAAAAAACAAAAAACAAAAAACCAAAACAAAACAAAAACAAATACAAATACAAATACAAAAAAACCTTGAAGAAAAAAAAAAGAGCGCATTGACATACAGCAGTACCTACTAAAGCTCAAATAAATTTTAACCACAGGGATTATTGAACCCAAACAGAGACACCAAGCTACTGGACAATTTTCAAAGTTTGCTTTAAAATTTAACACCAAGATTTAAGATCACAACACAGAAGTATTAAGATCTAAAAGTCTGTCATCAGGTGGCTATATTGTAAGTTGTAACTGGTGTGCAGTCATGCATCATATTTCATTACATTAGATTTGGTAAAGATAGAACTTCGCATGTATATCCAGATATCTCATTGTAGCCAATCCCAAAAATTTTTTAATAACGCTTCTTTGAGTTGAGGGAGTATTTCAAAAACCTAATGCTTACCAACAATTGACACTGCTAACGAAATTAAATCTCATAGAATGATGTTTTCATAATACAAACTTTCCCATGTTTCAAGGACAGAACACATATGGAGTGTGGTCAAATGTCACACCAGAAATTTCTTGACACTCAACACAGATAATAGAGATTCAAAGTTAATTGTGATTAGAATTTAGAAAGGGTGTTTGTATAGTTAAAATACTTGAATCAAATTTTGTTTCATTTTATTTTAATCTAATAGAAGGACTAAGGAAAATGTGAATACCTGGTCTGATATCCAAACTTCCTTTAAACCATGAGTTGCAGCAATAATTGTCAGTTCCGCACACCTTTCTGAGGACAATCTACTCTGTTAAAAGAGGAAAAACAGCAAAAGATGTCAATTAAAACCAAACAGACAGCATAGTAGAAGTAATCAATAGTTACTGAAGACAGATGGATGGGAAAATGTGCTATCAGAACATAAATGTTTTACAATCTACCAATCTGCACAATCGTGAATGTGCAAACCTTGCTGCTTCACAACATTTGGTTTGTCCAAAAGAGAGCAAGAAAACAAGTTACATGTTAAAGCCAATTCCACTTAACATTGCAGTATGAAGTTCACCTGAGAAGAACCCTTATTTCCTGAGGTTGTCGATCCAAAGCCATTTGATGTTTCTATTGGCCCAGGACAAACAATGGTCACCTTAATCCCTTTCTGACAGAGCTGCAATAACACAAGATTAAGAAAGGATGTAAGGACTTGGCAGAGAATAAGAAAAAAGTTAAAACAAAATTTATCATAAGGTGAAGCATTATAATTTGGAATAATGTATTCTTTACCAACACTAAATAGCATAAGCCATTACAAACATCATTGCCCAAAATATAGCCTCTTGTAAGTCAGTCAAGTGTAGTTTGGTTCATTTGTTTGTTTGTTTTAAATAAGCTCATTGTAGGACACATGGGGGAATAGAAGCAGAAAACAAAGTCCTTATATCCCATTTAGTTTTAAATTCGTCAAACTGACCATTCTTATGAAGTTTTAGGCCCTAGAATCTCTCCCTGTACATTATCCACATAGCACATTATAGAAACAACCACTAATAAAGCTCCCATCCCTAATTGTAACATCAAAGCACAGGATCACATACTATGTGCATCAGTCTTCTCAGCTTGGGTACATTTCAGTTCATGTGCTTACTAATCCAATCCACTTAACTAGTGAAACCAGCATCTTTTGTTTTCTGCAATACCATACAAATCAAGGAACACATGTTTAAAGTTCTTCATCACACCATACACCTTTCCAAGTTCTAAGCCAATTGGCCAAATAAAGAATGTTACTTCAAAGTTTATTCTTTGCTGCATGCAGCATGCAACGTACTTGGCACAATTAGCCCAACCACCTTCTAGGTTCCAATTAGTCAAATCAAGGCAAACGTATTTCAAAGTGTATCCTCTGCTATCTCCAGCATTAAGGGCAATAAACTAGGCACCATTAGCCCAACCACCTCTAATACTAATCCAAATATTAACATCATAACTACTCCTAGTACAAACATCAATCACAACCATTTAAAAGGGAAAAAAATAGTTGGCGGATTCTATTTTTGCCATCCAAAGCATCCCCTTCATGTGTGTGTGTGTATATATATATGGATTAGATTAACTGCCTGAAACAGAACAATTACAAAAGCATGATGGAGCATGAGTCATCCTCACAATATGAAAGCAAAAGGAATATAATAGAAGAGCAATCCGATCCCTATTGGCTCAGCAAATACCTTTAAAAGCACCTAAAGCATCATCCTACAAATAAGAAAGGAAAGCAATCCTATTCCACACCAATTGTGTCAAAGTGTACTGGTTTTCAAAAATTCTAGCATCTCTCCAACCAGATACATAATCCGACACAGCCTTCTTTCAGACAAGTCATTTTGTGTGAAATCAGCCTCAGAACACCAATACAGTCAGCAGTTCACATCCACTTATAGTGGTTTCTCTTGCATCTTTGGATCCTATATAGTTCAAACATGAGACACCTCTATTAGGGATCCTCTATTTTTCAAACATGAGAATTCTGTTGCATCAAAGTAGGTCAAATTATGCTGGCAGCTGATAAAATTATTCTCTAATTTCTATTGTTTATTTTACCTCCAATTTCCAAACAATTCAAGTTTATACAGAGGTCAGAACTGTTCCCCAGCTAGTTTGGAATTGAGGCTTATTTGTTGTTGCATACAGTTCAGAACTATTCATTGGAACATTTTCCGACTAGCATCACAGATTATATGAACTATGTACTCGTTAGTCAATAAACTAGAATAAGATAAATATCATTCTCTTGTGATTCTTAAGGTATCTCTCGAACTTAATTTCAGTATTATCTGATTAAATTTCAATGACCAGGAGTACAAATGATTCAGAAAACTAAGGAAGCAAATCGTGTGTTTTTTTTGTAAACAAGGGTATTTCTGTGATTTCTGGAAAATCTGGAAATTTGTCTAAATCTAGGTTTTATTCTCCATTTAGTATTTTATTAGTCCTAATGACTAATTAGCTTTATTAGGTTTTCCTATGCTAAAATAGGAATAGTTATATGTTTGCCTATTAAATAGGAATAGTTATCTTACAGGTTTAGAGATCTTTGTCCTAGTAGTACTTGGACTTCTACAACTCTATAAATATAGTATGCAGTCTTTCAATATTGAGGAATGACGGCTTTTGAATGAAATCCCAACAATTTGTTTTTGATTGTGACTCAAATCTTCCTTAAGTGTGACTCATAAGAACCTTATGTGTGAAGCTTAGGTTTTTCTATCCTCTAGGGGTGACTTCTAGAAACCCTATTAGTGTGACTCTAATAGTTCTACAATTCCCAATAGAAATCCACTCTAATACAACCCTAAACAGCCTCCAAAGATCAGATCCAGAACAGACCCTAAGCTTTCCTACATCAACAACCATAGGTAACCACATGAATTCAACATAAAATGCATTAGTCATATTCAATGGTATAACTGATCAAAATTTTGATTAAAAATTAGTAGGGTTGGACTCTATGGGTAATGAGAAACAGTCAGTTAACAACTTGCCAGTTTAAAAGATTTATAAAAAATAAATCAAATTTTTGTCATGAATTTGCAAATGTGCCAAAGTCAAAAATTTTCTTTCCTTGAATTTTCATGTTGTTTACCAGGCTAGCCTTCCAATCAGTTTATGGATCAAAACAGAAGTTACCTTTTTGGCCATTATTGCAATATTTTCTACGTTATAGTCACACATAGCAAGAATTCTGGTTTACAATAATGAGCAATTCCCGATTCATTTTGACTTAGAAATAATATATATACCTCAGAACGCAAGGAATGAAAGTATCCATTTAGTGCAAATTTAGAAGCTGAGTATACGGCCTGACCCGGGGTAGGCGTCTTGCCAGCAGCACTGCTCATCTGCATGTATAGAGCAATTAGGAAGTTACTGGATGTCATGAGAATGGATGCTACGTACAATCATAAAAACCAACCTATTCTTTTATGGAGGGGGTGAGAGACAGGAGCTTTGGAATAGATAATTTTTAGATTTTCATTTTTTTTTTTCCAGTGCTTTGATTATTTTATGCCTACGAAAGAAAAGTAGCTAGGAAACGACGAAAAGATAAACATCTTTCTAGCAACCAATCTCATAAGTAACAAGAGTTATAACGGACTATAAGCAACAACTGGTTAAAGTGTAAGGATCATCCGGGTAATAATTTCCATGTCAAGTTGTGGTGTATATCCAAAACACATGTTGGATAAAATAGATATCAGTAATCCACACATACCACAACAAAATGACCCCTCCCCCGGCTCAGCATAGAAGGCGCCAATACCCGTGTGAGGGATATTGTCCCCAGGACATTGATGTTGAATGTAGCCTACTTCCACAGCAAAAGCGTCATTAGTAGTTTTAGGAATCGTAGACAAAATTCAATAAAGTATCAAATTAGTCATCCTTCCACGAATGCATCCTGCTGACTCAACTCAACTTGTAACTCAATATTGGCAAGACATAGCAAAATAACTCGTGTAAACTGCTATTATTTTTTAAAAGACTGGACTAGACCATCATCAGGATGCCTAATTCCATGATTTGATACCTTGAGACTTTCCTCGTCTACATCCAGAGCTGCTGATTTCTGCCAAAAGATAATTAACAAATTAAAGTCATTCACCACAGGAAAGACAAAATCAGCTTTACAAACATATCAGCAGGTTATCACATTGATGCACAGAATAAACAGAACTTAAAGCAGTTTACGACCTGGTATTGCTGCATATTCAGTACTTTCAGAGATATTTATAATAGGCAACCTGGAGTGACATGAGGAAGTCTCAATTCATGAAAGATTTCTAGAAATCTCAAGTCAAAATTGTGTTGCAGAATCAAATTGTAGTTATACTTGGTCTCACATTGATCATCCTAAGCAGCATCCACTTTTAACACAAAGTAACTTTAAAGTGAATAAATTGAAAATAACAAGGCACCACAACCATGAAATTTATTTGATACCAATAAATTCAATTTCCCAAATTTTTTATGTTTTTCTGTCACCACAAAGAAAACTTCAAGGTGATACCAGGACTTGTGACCAAGCATTCTCACATCTGAAGATAAACAAGAAAACAAAACGAATGAAACTTACACAACCTCTTAGGACATAATGCTACTTGTTTCTTGGTCCATCAACTTCTTAGGACAAAATAAATGAAACTTACACAACCTCTTACGACATAATACTACTTGTTTCTTGGCCCATCAACCACCAACATTGCAAATACTATATCACATGTGTCATCATGTTTGAATCTCAAATTCCATTTTTTCTTCTCGGTAAAAATCATTTCAACATGTGAAAGCCATCGTAGATAGTTTTGTTTTTTCCTGTTCTCTTTTTTCAAGATCTCTCATTCTCATCATTCTCTGCATGATTTCCAGCAATGCTGTTACTGCTCTTGACCTCAAGTCAGTCATTCTTTTCTTATCTTCTACATTCCTCTCATTTTCCACAATCCTAATTTATTTTCCCAAGCAACCCTCACATATAGTGTCTTACTATCACCAAATCCAATCGTTTGAACCCTGTTTTGCTGGTTCTCCTACAATTTCCCAAACCTCAGTTTTGCAATCCAGACAGCAGAACCACCTTTTGCCCTCAAATACCAATCAGCCAAGTTTCAATTCAATTACAAACTCCAAGGCATTATTCTATTCCTCACTCAAAAAACAAAAAGTTATACCACACTCAAGCACACAAAGCAGATTACTAAGAACATGTCCCACATCAGACAGAAGGTACAGGGAAGTCGGTATAACAATGATATAATTCTAGAGACAAAGGATTGTTTCTGGGCACAGTGCACCATTTACCTCCAATCCATACAATCAGCATAGACTGATATAGTACAATCTTCAAATGATTGATAATTTGTTAACGTTTGGCAGGAATTTTTTTTTTTTTTTTTTTTCAGGGAAAAAAAAAACAAATGCAACTTTCTTAGGACAAAGTAAAGTAACTTTCAAATAACAAATGTAAGAGATTGATAGACAATGTATGCTTAAATACTTGAGGGAACTGGTGCAAAAACAAGGCCCGTGATCTGTCATTACCTTGGTGGAAAATAAATGTATGAACCAAGCCTCATTCAAATCATGATCATGGAGATCTTTTTTTGTCATGAATGAAAATCAGTCTCTTCAGATGGGAAGTAAAGTGAGATACCCACTATAAAACCATTGATAGTTCGTAGCAATGAATTCAAAGCATTTTTTTGGAGATAGCTATGGTGAACTAGAGGTCCATTATTTGACAAAAGGTAGTGAAACATTTACAACCTTGTAGAAGAATCACAGCAGTGTATGATCTTTTCATAGGTAATACGTGAAAATTTGCACTGAGTTAGCAGGTTCCTTATCTAACTTGGAGCAGCTATTGATTTTGTTACATAATTTCCCTTTAATTCTTTGTATCTAAACTACAATGACCATTTATAAACAGATGTGAGTCTTTTGTGTGGTTAAATACTTGAGGGAACTGCTGCAAAAACAAGGCCTGCAATCTGTCATTACCTCAGTGGAAAATAAACGTAGGAACCAAGCCTCGTTCAAATCATGATCATGGAGACCTTTTTTTGTCATGAATGAAAATCAGTCTCTTGAAATAGGAAGTAAAGTGAGATACCCATTATAAAAAGCATTCATAGTTTGTAACAATGAATTCAAAGCATTGTTTTGGAGATAGCTATAGTGAACTAGAGGTCCATTATTTGACGAAAGGTAGTGAAACATTTACAACCTTGTTGAAGAATCACAGCAGTGTATGATCTCTTCATAGGTCATACTGAAATTTGCACTGAGTTAACAGGTTCCTTATCTAACTTGGAGCAGCTATTGATTTTGTAACATAATTTCCCTTTACTTCTTTATATCTAAACTACAATGACCATTTATAAACAGATGTGAGTCTTCTGTGTGCCTCTTTGATTGATCATGCACATGTATAGCAGAGTATCACTATCCCAAATCAGAAATTCCATACTTACTGGCCGTTCGTAAGCTGCATTATGGATCACATAATCCACACCAGCACCAGAGAAAAAGGACTCTGCTTTCTCTGCAACCTCCTTCAGAGACTCTTCACCAGATGCCAAATCCAAAGGTAAAATCTTCACTTCACCAGGCGCATGTTTACCTGTGGGCATACTGATGGCCTGTTAAAAAAAAAAATAGTAAAGAATGGAAGGAAGGCCAAGCTCCACATTGGATGAACTGATATACCAGTAAGTTGGCTCTTAACACGCTCCAATTCTGCTTCATTCCTTGATGAAAGAATTAGTTTGGCACCTAAACTTGCCAATTGTTTAGCAAGAACCTCACCTGAAACTCACCATGAAAGGTGAAAGAAATGAGGAATTTATCTACAAAACAAGAAATTTAGAAAATTTAAAATCATTTGAAGTTTTCCAAGCTAAAACACTTATATTTGTCACCATTGAAAACACATGATACAACAGATATGGAGGACAAAGCTTCACAAGGATAATCTGGACCACAATACTATTTTCCCTTACGGCCATATTTTCTCAGAAAGCACAGAGATACATTTGTAAACATATTATATGCACTCAGAAAATAGTAGTAAAAGAAAAAATTAAACTTATAACATAAAAAAAGGCACATCAAATCAATGGTTAGCATCATAATTGTACATGGGCAAGCTAAGTTCTCTCTGATCAGAGAAAATGACAGCCCAAATTCTGTAATAAAATTGATCAACTTCGACAAAAATAAATCAATAATTCAAAATGCGAATTTCCAATACCTATTCCACGGCTGGCTCCAGTAATCCAAACAACCTAAGAAACCATACGTAATAAGCACACAAAAAACAAAATATATATTTCAATGTTCCAAAACAAAGCACGAAAAATATGATATGAAATCGAAAGAAAATGAAAATACAATCTTTTAAATTGAGTTTTTCACCTTATCTTCAATTTCTTCACGCTTGACATGCCTCTTGGACATCAAAGTAAAATCCCCTTCAATTAAAAATCAAATTTTGACAAAAAAGAAGAACACCCCGTTAAAAATAGATATAGTGAGCTCGCAATTGACATGTAAACGTATGTATATGACATTAGTATACATACAAACATACCATCAGAAGTGATAAACTTGAAGAGTAAGGCAAAGAGAAGGAGAAGTGAGAGATAAATGAAGAGCATTGTTCGTTGGCTGCTCTTCGCCTTTCTCTTTGCTCTTCTGTTATTGAGAAATTTATTTTACTAGAATACACTCATTGGAATGTACAAAAAATAAAATTAAAAAATAGAACACACGCATCATCTGATTTTAAGTATTTTTGTTTTTTTTTTATTTTAATAAAAAACATTTCAATTAAAAAAAAATTATGGTCCGAATATTTGATAGAAAAAACAGACTAAATATTTCAAGATTTTTCAAAAACAAATAAAATGTAATTAAAAATCTGATGAAAAACTTTAAATATTATATAAAAATAGATAAATTTATTTATCCATGATATATATTATGACTAAACTTATCAATTAAAATTTTTAATCCTATTAATATCATCACTTATCTCATTTTCTTTATTGACTAATTGATTTTTTAACCAACAGCACAGCATACAAATTGTAAATAATAGATTTATAATGTTTATTTTTAATTTGAAGGCAATTGATATTATCAATCAATTAATTTGTCCATCAACGGAACTTAAGTCTCCTCCTAATAGGGATCTTAAAAATACACTCATAAGAAAGATGATTTGTGTTTGATAATTGTGTACAAGATGGTGAACAAAATCATACAAAACGCAAAAAATTATGATTTACTTGTATCATCATTACACTTTTGTATATGTCATTTTTAATTTCATTATTTTATGCATGATTTATTTATTAATTTTTTAAAAAATAATATGTTTTCTAAAAACATCATTTATTAAATAAATGATAATTTACTATGGCTAATTAATTTTTATTGATGTAAATTACAAAAAGATTATATAATAAATTATAATCTTCTTTAATTAATTAATTTTCTTCATGTGGTATCATATTAAATTGATGTCGAGCCTCAATATTGGGAGTTGTGTCAATTTAGCATTGGATTCAATTACGTCCCGACTTGATCGGCATGTCAAAGAATGACCTAATTAACTAAATGTGTTTAAACCGATTTTGTATTTATCCTAGCTAATCTTCTCCCTTTTATTTCTTTTTTATTTATTTCTTGATTGTAGGTCAAGACCAACATCGCTTTCTATTCAAATAGGAGACTCCTTAGGTCAACTTAAAATTTTTTTAATTGTCCTAAGAAGGCATATTTTCTTTTAATAATAAGATGAAATCGATGAAAAATCATAATCGGTCTCTAGAATCTAGGAGACTTGATGATCTCTCATCTTTCTAAATAAACAATAAACGTATTACACCATAATTATAATAATAGCATAATTATAAATAAATAGTAAATAAACTTCAAAAATTATGAAAATTAAAATACAAATCGAGAACCAACATAAGTACAAATCTAAAAATTTTCATATTAAATAAAAAAAAAGATACTAAGCTTAACATTTAAATTCTAAAACAAATCACATTAGTAATTAAAATGGCAATCGAATGGTAAATAAATTACAAATAAAAAGAAAATGGACTCATAAAATTATAAAAAATTAAAATATAAGATATGTACAAACATATGTACAAACCCTAAGAGTTTCAAATTAAGACATTAAAAGGCACTAGAATTGAAAAACCAACTACCGAAATAAAGCATACTAATAATTAAGATAAATGACAAAACAATAATAAATATAAAATAAATAGTAAATGAACTCAAAATTAAAAAAAAAAGATATGAACAAACATATGTACAATTCCTAAAATTTTTAGATTAAAATATTAAAAGGTACTGGAATTAAAAATCAACTACCGAAATAAAACACATTAATAATTACAATAAATGGCGTAACAATAATAAATATTAGATAAATAATAAACGAACTCATAAAATTATGAAACTTACCACATAAGGAATGGGCAAATATATGTACAAAATCAAAGGGTTTCAGATTAAAATAATAAAAGATACTCGGAATTAAAAATCAACAATTGAAATAAAACATATTAATAATTAAGATAAATGGCGTAACAATAATAAATAGTAAATGAACTCATAAAATCATGAACTTAACAAACAAGCTATGGGCAAACACATAAGCACACCCTAAAATTTTTAGATTTAAATTAAATTAAAAATGACGAAGTAATTAAGTTCCATAAATAATTAAAAAATATTGTAGAATAATAACTAAATATAAAATAAATAGTAAATGAACCCTTAAAATTATGTAATTTATAATAAATGCCGAGGACCAATACATGAACCAATCCTAAAAATTTCAGATTATAATAAAATTAAACAAAGAACTTAATAATTAAAATTTTAAACTCATTCACATTAATAATTAAAATAATGATAGAATAATAAATAAATTTTGAAATAATAGTAAATGGACTCTTAAAATTACAAAATTTAAAAAAGATGCTAAGAACAAACATATTAACGAACCTTAAAATTTTTAGATTAAAATAAAATTAAACACCGAGACTTAATAATTAAATTTCAAAACAACCTCACATTAATCATTAAAATATTAGCAGTAATAAATAAATAAATTACAAAATAAGAGTAAATAGACTCCAAAAATTACCAAATTTAAAAAATAGGTTAAAGACAAATGCATGAATAAACTATGAAAATTTTAGATTAAAATAAAATAATAACTGGATCAAATAATTAAATTTTGAAACAACTCACTCAAACTTTTGGCTTAGAGTTTAAAGGATGATTTGGGGGCTTTGTTTTGCTTAGATTATGTTGGCCATAGATAATGAGTTGAAGGTTGAGTAAATTATAAATCAGTCCCTTTCGTTTCGAGAAACAAATTAATTAATCATTATTATTTTAAAAACTAATCATTTAATCCTCATGTTTTGAAATCTACTTGTAATTTTTAGTCCTTTTTACTTATTTTTAATTTATTTTGATTTTTATTTTAAGAAATATAAAAAAATTATGAAAAAAATGATAACATTGATGAGAAAATAAGAAATTTTATAAAATAAAAATAGTATTAAATTAAGCATGATCAATACCGATTAACGGAATAAGTAATAGTTTTTTAAACGAAAAAGAATAATTAATTGTTTATTGAAACTAAAGGGACTAAGTTATAATTTACTCGTTTTCATCGTGATTAAGGGAGTGGTTTTGTGGGAGAAATAAGTGGAGAGATTTTTTTTTTCCCTTCTTTAATGAGTAGAGAGATTTTTTTTTCCTTTTTCTAAAAGATGAATGACCTTTCTCTAGTTTATATTTTTATTTTTTTTGGACAATGAATAGTGGTTGTCCCTTAAGAAGTAGAGAAAACTAGTTTTTCACCCGCATTACGCTGCAGATCGTAAAGAACATGTAAAATTATTTTACTTTAAAAATTTACGTTTTACCGTGAATCCACCAAAATATAATAATTATTTTTTATTAACGATCCGCACTTGACTAATTATTCGTTGTATTTTTTAAAAATTTTCTAAAAAAAAAACATAATTTATTCTTATTTATTCGATTCTTAACTAAAAACTTGTGATAATCTAAAAATAAAATCTAAAACTCTATGGATTTATAACTAAAAATTTATTTTGTAAATTATTTTTTTCAAAAAATCTAATACAAATTCTCTAAAAAATTTTTAATATATATATGCTATTACCATTTAAAAATTCTAATAGTCCATCATATAAATTATATAATTTTTTTTAAATAATCATGTTGTAAAATTTTATTTAAAAATCTATACATAGAGAAAAACAAATCATGTTTGTCAATAAATAATATTTTAAAAAATAAAATTAATTGGATGAAAATCTTAATAAGAAATGATAAATTGAAGAAATTATTTTATATAATAATAGTAATATAATCTAAAATATATCTTTATTTAAAACATAAAAACATATCATATAGATATATTTATTTCATACAATGGAGATGAATATAGTGATAAATATATTTATTTCATGCAGTAAATGTAAATATAGTGATAGATAAACTATAAATTAACCCCTTTTGTTTTGAGAAATGAATTAATTAATCATTTTGATTTCAAAAAATAATTATTTATTCTTTTTAGCCGAGACTAATTTATTTTTTATTTTCAAAAATGTCTTTTTTTCTCATTAATCTTTTTCATATTTTTATCTACTTTTTATTTTTTAAATAAAAAAGTAAAAAAAAAATAGCAAGAATGATAAAATTAGTTTTTGAAATTAAATGAACTAATTAATTCATTTCCCTATGAAAGAGGGACTAATTTATAATTTACTTTTGAAGCTCCTCTCTTTTAACGAAAATGAGGAGAAAAAATTGACAATCGGAAAAGCATTAAATGAGTCATCAAGAAAAGAAAAGGAAATGACCAAAAAACACTAAAAAAAAAGTAAAAAAAAGAGCAAGTGAAGGGTAGATGCGGATTTTTATAAATCTACTAAGTGGCAATGAGGGTGATGAAAAATAAAAGAGAAGGCCATTTATAGTGTAAAGAAAAAAAGAAGAAGGAAAATGATAGAAAAAGGCTTGGGAAGAAAAATCTACTAAGTGACAATATGAGTAATTTAGGGTATAAAAAAAAGGCCTTTTATAACGCAAAAGGCAAAAAAAAAAAAAACACTCAATCCATAATAAACCGAGATGGATAATAGTCTAATAACAATAAAATCCCTGTGCCTTTTAGTGTTTTTTGTAATGAGGTTTTTATAGTGGGCCTTTTTAGGATTGTGGGTAAAATTCAACTTGGTTTGGTCCTTCATTCTTTTGCTTTTTATTATTTTCTCATCAATCACACTCCTAATTGAAATTATTTGGTCCCTTTTCTTTTAATTACATCCTAATTGATTCTCAATTAAGGCTCTTGATTTTTTATTCTCTTTCAATTATTCCTCTAATTAGATGTTATTTGTTCCTCACCCCTCACATTTTTTCAATTTAACCCCAAATTATTTTTTCAAATTATTCTCCTTTTTATTTAATTAAAATTAGGGGATAATTTTAAGAAATTAAATTCTAAAAATTTATAAAAATATCTAAAAAAAAATGAAAAGATAAAGAAACTATGCAACATGCAATTTTTTAAAATTTTTGGATTTGTATAAAAATAAAATTTATAGAGGTAAAAAATAGGTTATGACAACTTACATGCATATTTCCTTACCTTTTTTTATACAGGAACTAAACATCATCTTGAGAATCAAAATTATTTGCATTCACTTGAATCAATCTTGAATGGTTCCAAGGGACTCATCAACTCCTTTGAGATTCTCTTCAAGATTCTTCCATTTGTATCAAAAACATAAGCATGTCATTTGTTTTGAAAGATCGAAGCCACTCCAAATTCTTCCGATTATTGTTTTCTTTTGGCTACCAAATCCAACAGACTTTCCCCTGCAGTACTATCTTTCTCCTTCAGTGCTATCTTTTAACATCAAAAATTCATATAATCTCTTTTTTGATAGCAGCTCTTTCTCAATAGGTTGCTTGGCTTTCAAACGGGCAAGACATTTTTCAATATCATGAAAATATTTAACCTTTTTTTTTTTTTTCAAGAATTGTTTTCAATGAAGTGTGTGATTAACCTATCTTCCCATTAATTTTATTAAAAACACACACACGCAAAGAAGCTATTACCACGTTGTACAAATAAAAAAGAACAATTGAAAATAGATCTTGAAAAACAAAACCTTTTCTCCATCAAGATATAGTAGAATAAAAGGATTCCTTCTTTCTGGTCGACGCCTTGACCAACTAGTAATGTTCTTTTTATATAGGATAATTTTTTATTTCGAAGGTATCATTAAAGCCCCTTCTTGATTTATTTTCCCTTCTTCCCTTCTCAGTAGCCCATGTTTTATTATTATTATTATTTTATGTCTGTATCTTTATCTTATATTGAATATATATTTAATTATGTTCAAAATGAAAACGATAAAGTTTAACTATTTTTAGTAAATATGACTCCATGATTAAAAAAAAGCAACAAAATTTAACTCTTTATAATTAATATGACTTAAAGATTTAAACTTCGTACATGGATAAAAATTTCATATGAGAATTAATTCATTTGTAATTATTCGAACAACTTGTTGGTAAATTCATGCATTATATTAATGTCCTTTCCAACAAAAAAAAGAAAGAAAATCACCACATTTATAGCAGGATGCATGCATTAAACCATTTTCTACACGGATTAGGAGAAGGTGCTATTCTCTCCTGTTTAATATCTAACATTAAACCATTTCTGGATGCATCCATGGAAGGGAGCAGAAATGTGGTAATGGCTCTCTCTGGGGAGAGTTTATTACAGGCTTTATAGCACAAACAGTCCTTTAAGGCAATGATTGCTGATTGAATGATTAAATTTGGTTCATTGTGACTACTTTAATAACCAGTTAAATCACTTAATTTTGTTCTAAGACATAATGGAGGGATCTGAAAGCTTCATCCACAACAATTGTTGAGTCCTAATAGGCTTTTCAATGAATAATTTCAAGCGTAAAATCTCGAGTCAACTAGCATCATACCCTAATAGCCACCATACAGTGGCAAGAGATTTCGTGTTCGAATCTTTCGCTAAGAGTAAGGCAAAGGTACCTACCTATATTTTGGTGGTGTTATTTATTACTAGGGCAACCAATTAAGCCCTGCAAAACAATATAGACAGATAAGTTTACTGACTGTAGGTAGAAGTGGGCTAGGGTCCTTCTGATGTACATCTTTCCTTGGCTTTTATCAAACTGAAGACGTTATAATTGCTGGAATTTCCATTTTTTGGGTTAGCCTAACCAGACGTTATAATTAGGGTTTTTCAAAGACGTCAAGCGTCTCATTATCAAGGTCTTTTCCCTTACCTTTTCTTATTGCTTTAATCCCCATATCAACTTTGCTAACGTGTTAATTAAACCTAATTCGTATGGTCATCGAGTAGATTTGTTTTTGGTTTAAGACGTGATGCTCACTTTGATTTTATTTATTTGATTAGATGCCATGCAGCATTTTGTTTTAACTTTAGATTCTGAAAATTTAATGCTCAATTCATCCGTGTTTTTTTTTTTCATTATATTATATCATTTTTTTAGTTAATAAATGAAAACTTTTAACCGAGCAGATTTAAATGGAAAACCCAAATTACGACTTTGTTTGATATGATTAGTGATTGTGGTTCAAGTTATTTGCTTGATTTTGAGATTTGGTTAATGAAGGTTATTTTGCCTAATCATACTTAGTATTTTTTTTATGCTAAATATCTGAAAGATTAAAACACTGTGTTTTGCAATGAAGTGTGTGATTAACCTATCTTCCCATTAATTTTATTAAAAACACAACTACACACACAAACACAAAGAAGCTATTACCACGTTGTACTAATAAAAAAGAACAATTTAAAATAGATCTTGAATAAGAAAACCTTTTCTCCATCAAGATATGGTAGAATAAAAGGATTCCTTCTTTCTGGTCGACGCCTTGACCACCTACTAATGTTCTTTTTATATAGGATAATTTTTTATTTCGAAGGTATCATTAAAGCCCCTTCTTGATTTATTTTCCCTTCTTCCCTTCCCAGTAGCCCATGTATTATTATTATTATTATTTTATGCATGTATCTTTATCTTATATTGAAAATATAAATAATTATATTCGAAATGAAAACGATAAAGTTTACTCATTTTTAATAAATATGACTCCATGATTAAAAAAAAACACCAAAATTTAACTTTTTATAATTAATATGACTTAAAGATTTAAACTTTGTACATTAATAAAAAATATGGATGCTATTAAGAGGATACTGGATATTTAAAATTCTATAATTTTTTTAGACAATTTTTGCACGTAGAAATCAAGTCTCTCTCGAGCATGAAACATATCCTTACATAATCATCCTTAAATCAAGCTATTAGAATAATTATTGGAAGTCTAGATCTTAAACAAACCATTTACTTTTGGACTAGTTCATTTCATGATAAATTTTCTCAAAGCTTTAAAAAAAAATAAAAAAAATTAACATATTTTATAATAACTTGGAGAGCAAATTCAATTATCATCCAAACAAAAAAAATCCAATGATTAAATTTTATTAATTAAAGCAGAACACATGCTAATAATGTATATTATTACTCATGCAAAGTTTAAATTTATCACAGTAAAATGACTATTTATCGAATTCTTCTCCTTCTATGTAATACAACAAACAATTATATGGATGTGTTATTAGACTCAATCATACTTTAATAATACACTATTTATAGAATTCAAAGTTAATGTCCTCATCATCCTATCAAACTAATCTTAAAAAACAGCACAATTGTTTTGAAAAAGATAAAAATCATATTGGAAAGAAAGAAAATTATTTTGGAATTTTCCGAAAGTAATCGCTCTATTTGTACATATGCTTCCCAAAAAGGGCAATGTTCTCCATCCAACCTAGTACCCTAGGTGCAATGGAGCATTGCAAGATGCCCTTAATTAGGTTCTATGCAAGTCAAAGACAGTTAGTCAAAGTAAACAACCCACTAAAAAAATTTAATTAATTAATATATATAGATAATAGATATTCTTCATTAATCTTTTTAAAAGGAAAAATACAAAAAGGGAATTGGAAAAAGTGACCTTTTTCTCCAAATTCTCATTGCAATCTTTTCGCACAACACAATATATCAATTATATCTTCTCGTAAAGAAAGAATCTTCTGTCAGCTCCTCTCTCTCTCTCTCTCTCTGTTTGTTTTTCTAGTCTAGAAAACAAGAGAAGGATAGAAAAAGCAAAGAAGAAAAAAGGGCTGCCTTCAGAGATAATCAGCTTTGGGAAATTGGTAAAGAGTGGAGGGGAAAAAAAAGAAAAAAGAAGGAAGAAGGAAAGAGATGTGTGCAGCAGCCTTACCTACTGCTATGAGGCTTTTGTTAACCACTTCTACTGTTATAGATTTTCCCTCCAAATCCCTAAGAACAACAACAATCCCTAATTCCAACCAATCATGTCTTACAAGAAGAAACAGTCTCTCTTTCTCCAAACCAAAGGTATCTCGCTCTTTCTCTCTGTAATGTTAGTATTTTGTTTTTTTGTTTTTTTTTTTTTTTTTTTTATATATACACAGTGGTGTTTTAAGTGCAAAATTTATGACTTTTTGCGCTTTGATGAATTGGGTTTTATGTTGTGCTTGCGTGCCTACAAAAATGGTGCTCAGTTTTGTGTGTTCGTGGTTCAAAGTTGGATTTTGATAGATGGGTCTTGTTTGTTTTTTTTAGTTCCACTTTCTCTCACAATTTTGGGAGAGGAAGTGTTGTTTGGTTGTAGATATGAGAAGTATTAGATATTTGAATGAAAGATTTTCAAGTCAAAGGTCTAAAATGGGGTTCCCTTCATAACATGTATTCTGATGATTGTTCCCGTTACCTAAAACTTTAATTGCATTCAAAATTTGTTCTTATTGACATTAAATTTATTCTAATAGAGCACACAATTTATATTCCTTAGATATCCTGGATATGCATGGGGCCTGTGAATAAATGGAATCATCTTAGAAGGAAGCTTACTTAATTTTCTTTAGAATTTGATTTTCCTTAAATGCATCAAATCTGAACCGTTCCTATTTAATGATTAAAGAGGACAGGAATTTTTTTTGAAATCTCAAACTTTCTTTAAAATTGTCCATATAAATGCTTCTTGGGGCTGTGGGCAAGTGAGAAATTAGTGATTCAAACCCCAAGGAGAATATTGTTCTGTCGGAACGTTGATAGTAGAATTTTGATAGTAAGAAAAGAAGCATGATGTGGGAAACTGAACCTGTATGTTTGATGTGGAAATATGGATTATTTAGATGGAGAATGGGTTACCTTTTGAATTGGCTGGAGGCTTTCTATTCATAAGATTAAAGTCTCTTTCTGCTGACCTTTGCCCCATGTTTTGCCAGATTTTGTAGACTGTCTTGTATTTTTAGCATACCATTTTTAGCTTGCTTGTACAATAACCCTATGCTGGCTTTCTTTCTATTTAATAAATTTTCATTTATCCAGGGAAAATATTTTGGACCTACTAAAACCAAATATTATCCATTATAAAACTCATATACACACTGATCCATGATACTGGTCAATTATGTGTCTTAATATTTTCTGCGTGCAAGGCAGCTTCAATGATTTTCTATATATCTCTGAAAATCTTCTCTTATGATTTGTTGAAATATACTGTGTTCCCTGAGTTGAGCTGATATTGTGTTAAGTTATGTTTCTTTGAGTGTGTTATAATTTTGCAGAGGTGATAAAAAAGACTCAGGCTTTATGTAAGCTTGCTAAGTCCTAAAATATATTCATGTTTAGGAGGGGGAGAGGGGATGGGATGAAACATGCCTCTAAGCTCATGTGAGCTTAAGCTTGTCTGATCACCACTCTTTGTGTTTTCACTAATGATTTACTACCAGGGGATCTGTTTTTATGTAATGGAAATAGTGGCTTTGTGGAAATAAGAGGAAAGATCAGGACATGGATAGTTGGAAAATTGAAGATGAGAACGTCGAGTGCATGTTTGGTTCAAATGAAGATACTGGCAGCCAAATTCCAACACAAGCCCAAACTATTGTGGAAGGATCGGGGACAGTTGTGGTGTCAGAATTTAAACCTGTTCCTGATGTAGACTATCTGCAGGTGTGTCAGATTTCTATTACAAACTTGTTCTTCAGTCAACAGAATTTGTTTTTGGCAGTTCATTATAAAGCTGGAAATTTTCTTCAACAGGAATATCATTTCTCCACCCCTTTGATATATTGGGTTTCACAGTAGAGAAATTGTTTACCAACGCCTAATTTGGGATATCATGCATTTATGGTATTCAATAGTAAAAAATTCCCTCGGAAGTTAAAGTTTGGGACCAGAAACAACCAATAGATCATGCATAATATATTTTCCATGATGGACACTAGAGTGACTAAGTGATCTTCTGCTGTCTGATCTTATTGGTTGCAGTTTTGCAAGCACCCCAGCATTCTTTTCTATTGTTCTAAATCATAGGGCCTTGGATATCTGTTTGAAAGGTTAAGTTTTTTATGGATATACAATTGTTTGCAGGAGTTGCTGGCCATCCAACAACAAGGACCTAGAACCATTGGTTTTTTTGGAACCCGGAACATGGGCTTCATGCATCAAGAACTTATTGAGATTCTTAGTTATGCTTTGGTTATAACAGTAAGATGCTATAATTTCAATCTCGTTTATTTTAGTTTTATTTTCTCCTTTGGATACTCATTAAGCATTCTAGAAATACTTGATGCTGGGCCTCGCCATGTAGTTGTAAGTAAATGCTTCTGAGATTCTCATCTTCCTGAAATGCAGCATGATTTCTTTTCCTGCAGAAAAACCATATTTATACATCAGGTGCATCTGGGACTAATGCAGCCGTTATCAGAGGTGCTTTAAGAGCAGAAAAACCTGAACTACTTACTGTAATCTTGCCTCAAAGTTTGAAAAAACAACCGCCTGAGAGCCAGGAACTATTGGCAAAAGTAAGAAATTAATTTTGACAGTCATTCATGTAATATTCCGTCTATTCTGATAATATAATTCCATCTGTTCTGATAATATTCATCCTCTGAGTGTATGCATGGGTAATTTGATGATAGTTAAGTTTTAAAACTTAAAACTTTGTGCAGCCAAACCCTTACACAATATTTTTGTAATCGGATTCTTGTTAAAAAGTACTTGAAATGTAACCTCAAACGTTTGATATACTTTTTAGACATCGTTGAACTTGCTGTCTATTTAATTTGTTCAACTATTAGGTGGCCTTCTTTAAGAGTTTGTCTTTGCCAACAGTAATTTAGACAATAAAATTTCAGCTCACCTCTCTTTGAAAGTTTCTTAGTATGTTTGTTGAGACATTAGGGTGTAAATTTAGATGATCAAAAGTGGCTTGATCCCAATCATTCAATTCTAAATCTTTTCCTATTAATTTCTTGGTTTGTAATGATAAATTTTCAAGGAATTAGCACTTTTTGGAGATGTGGCTATTCAAAAGAAGATTTCTGTTTTACATAAGGAGGAAGTTAGCCTAAGTGCAAAACAGAGATAATACTGTGTCATGTTTGCAATCCAACTTTACATTAGCGAGACAGATCTTTCTAGCTGACTTATTTAACTTTTAATTTGTTGCTTTACTATAAAGTTTATCACTTACTGTGAATAGGATTGTACATCCACTTGGATGCTAGTTGCAGAACAGTCTACGAGAGAAGAACTGGGGCCCATGAATATGTTTAATCTGTTGATGCAGTTGCAAATGAAAATGAATCTCCTCAAAATAATAATAATAATAATAATAATAATAATAAATCAATAAATAAATAATAAAAACAGAACTACGAAGGAATCCAGTTACCAAATGATGCATGTAGGTTCCACTAAAAAGGAAACTGGAATCAAGCTCTGAAGGCAACTGTTGGTGTTGTGGTAATTGGTTGTGTTTTTGGATTTGCAGGTGCAGAATGTGATAGAGAAGCCTCACAATGATCATCTACCACTGATTGAAGCCAGCAGGTTTGTGCTAACATGTTCTTTCAGTCACTCTTCCTGTATTTTATTTCTTATATCCCTTTCTTTTGAGAGGGTCCTCTTATGTCAAAATTCTGCTAACCAACAACAATAGCCAAAGAAAGAATCTTCTTATCTAATTTGTAGTAGTGAAATGATAACAAAATATTTCTGTGCACTTGTAAATGATTTGATTAATTGACACTTTGCCTGTACAAAACTATTAAATGATGAAACATTGATTGGTAATAAAATGCAACGTTGCTCATGAAACATTAAATGGTGAAAATTTACATGAAATAAGAAAAGAACACTACCAACAATTCGAGAGGCTGCCTTCTCTCCCTGACGGTACTGTCACCCAAAATTACACAAAATTAGTCATGGTCCCCTCCCCCTGTCAATACCAGCACCTATATATTCCCTTCCTAATTCGGTTACAACCAACCTCACACCAATGTCACCACCTTCCAGAATCTGACAAAGTGTCATCAAACAACAAAGGACAAAAATCGCCTAACAGCAGAAAATGTAACAAACACAATAAACACTGAAATAAAAAGAAACCAACACTAAAATATAAAAGGTCCAGTTCAGAACTATGATGCTAGCTGCAGACTGCTCAAGCCTGATCCACGTCCTTCAATTTCAGCCCGTCCTCATTCAGCTTCGAATCTCCCTTTCCTTTCCTCTTATAAACAAACTTAATAGCAGGCTTAACAGAATGGAAAATGAAAAATAACATGATGTTTATGTCAAGATTTGAACCAAAAGTCCTGTGGTTCAAAATTGTGCAGTTACTGTTTTGAAGTCAAAATTTACTGCTTTAGAATCAAGACCTTTTTGCTGAGAACTGTGAAAGCATAACCATGCCAATCAAACAATTTTATGAATTAGTAAATTTGACGGGGTTTTGGATTTTGAACCAGTATCATATGGAACTGCTTTTGATTTGATGATTGATAAAGCCTCCTCGAGATTAACCAAATATGCTGATCTGCTGGATCTGCTTATGCAAAATAATTCAACACAGATATTAAAATCGAAGGATGAAATGCCTACTCAAGCCAATGGGAATAGCATTACAGTATATTGGTCTGACTTTTATTATCTGTAAATTTCCTAGTTGTTTGATCTTGCACGTGCAAAGCAAAGTAGATTCAACTGATATAGGAACTCAATTGAAATGCAAGCTTGACTTGTAGTGTTTAAAATTTCTAGGCGTGATTGAGCTTGGGATTGTTAGTTTAGGTTGGCAACTTCGTCAACCCTGCAGTTGGGTTCTGCATCAGCTTAATGCAGAAGTTGGAAAATTATTGCATCTTCTATGTAAGTTGATAAAACGGAATTTATCTGATGGTTTTTAATGGTGAAATTGCAGGCTGTGTAATATGGACATTATTTCCCATGTACAACAAGTTATATGCTTTGCCTTCCATGATAGCAGGTTGCTCATGGAAACATGTCAAGAGGCCAAAAATCTCCGGAAAATTGTTACTCTCTTTTACCTGGACTGAAGCAATTTGTTCATTCTTCTTCTGTTACATTGTTTTGAAAAAGAGATGGGGGAGGGGATGTTGCTTATTCTTTTTTTGTAAATTAGGCAGTGAAATGGGAGAAATCGTTTGACTTTATGGATATTATAACAGTGATGGAGCCAATTTGCTCCTCATAGTTGGATAGATACTGTAAAAGTTCTCATTCACCTGATTTTAGGAGAGGATATGGGAGAAGAAACCTTCCCATTGAATATGTCAATGCATTATGTTTGCAACAACATGCAAGTTCTTACTAAGGTGTTTCAGTTTTGCCTTTATATGAAGCAATTCAATCAAATATTTTGCCATGTGTTTTTTTAATTGAATCACATTGTAATGAAGCTTAAAAGCATTTTCAACTCTTTATTGGATTTGAAAACACAGAGAAGTACAAGTACGTTTCTCGTTTCCATTGACGTGAAATGATATAAGTTGTCTTCATGTCCTTAAAGCAGAAGTAGTGCTCGAGTGGTTTTTTAGGTTCCCCGGTTCAATGGCTCTGATTCTCCCTCCACCACCGTTCGACGGCTGGGATTTTACATAATATAGCGGAATAAACCATGAAAAACATGCACAAGATCGATCAGGCAATGGGATTCAGATTTTATTAGGCAAGGCCCTCGTTTCCTAGGTGCAAGAGGTTAATCATTGGTACATGGTTTTTGCCCATTATATTATATGTTATTTCTGTTTTTTGAATTGTTTTGATTAAAATCTTTTTATATATATATATTCGAATTGGTTGAGTTCTCTTCTTATTCATTATGTTTTATTTTCATCTTTTTAGTATAACACCGGTAGTTATAAGCGAACATGATGCTAACATTTTTAAAAACAAAACATGTGTCATATGTGGGATCTTAATGGAGAGAATTAATTAAAACAATTTAAAGATTTAGAGGCTTCAATCAAAATAATTCAAATAGCACATAAAATAATTTTTTTTAATTTTTATTTTATCTTTTTAAAACCTCATAATAAAGGCATAAAATGTGTCATATGTGATACCCGATCAAATGTGAGACTTTATCACCGTAAAACTTTGAGTTTTTTTCTCTTAAATATTGTTATAATAAGTTAAAAATAATACATAAAAAAAAGAAGAAAAAAAATAACATGCAATTATTAAAATAAAAATATGGTGATGTGTAATATGTATAAGTCACGTGCTCTTAGTTAATGAGTCTAATCTTTCATAAAAAGTAAGGAATTTTGGATATTTGATGAATTCAAAAACAAAAATAGAGTTGCTCTTTCAAAAACAGAAAAATTGAAACTACATCACTCTTTTTTTTCCTTTGACATAGATAATTAACTACTAGTCAACGTTATTGTTGATTTTCTTTTAATTTTAACAAACATATTTGTACTATTTTTTTTAATTGCATATTAAGTTCATTTTGTATGTATTTTATTATTTTTCGAGTTTTATTGTGACGATTCTCCGAAACATAAAAATAAATATAAGTTTTTTTTTTTTTTTTTTTTAAAGAACATGGAGATCATATATGGTCAAAACCCATATGGAAATGCACATATATCTAATTTCATTTGTGGATTTTATGCGATTGAGGTGGTTATGTACTTGGCTTGGTTTCTTTACATAAAACCTTCTTCAGCTTAAAAGAGATTTTATTTTTTTTGAACAAATGACCATATCATGCAGGCACATTGGACTATACGAAGTGGAGTTTAATAATACTAGTGGTCTATGAGGTATTTATTTTTGACAAAAAACATTCATATAGTTTTAATTTGGGTAATTACATCTCTATAATCCGTTCCCTTATGCACTACATGGTCAAGTCATTTTTTCATAAATTTTGATTTTTAACATAAACGAAAGACATGTGTCATTTTTTATTGGTTCTAATTTTGAAAAATCTGCCAATTATTTTATTTATTTACCATTGAAATGAATTTATTTTTTAATTTTTTAATCACACTAACATTTTTTTTTAAGAAGTTAAAAAAATTTTGATTAATAATTTTTTACTTAGTTCGCTTAAACAAATTGATATGTCAATATTATAGAGATCATTTGGGTTTTATAGATTAAAAGATGGTCTAAGTATATCCAGAAAAGAAAAGAAAAAATTATAGATTTATTAATAAAATGTTATAAAAGAAATAGAAATAATAGGAGAATTGAAGGAAAGGATGACAAGAAAATAAAATTACTATAATGTGAATACAAGTGATAAGAACTTTAAAGTTTCTCTTATTCTCTCTAGAAAACTTGTACACCAACTAATGAATAGTCAAGCCTATTTATAGGCTTATCCGAGAAGAGAATTGAAAAAGGCTATGAATAATCAATTGCATCACTCTTTTAATTTCTTATATTGAATGATGAATTGAATCATATTAAGAATCAAAAGTAGTAGGGATATGAAAAGTAGATAAACATGATGATGGACATTTATTATTTCATAACACTCCCCTCGAATGTCCACTCGTACAAAGAATATACCTCGTTAAAACCTTACTAGGAAAAAAACTCGGTGGAAAAAAATCCTAGTGAAGGAAAAAGAGTACAATATTCCTCGTACACATTAGTCTCAATGTTGGCCTCCCCCTGTTGAAAATATCATTTGAGATCTCTAAGACGATATATTTCAATCTTGTGAATCATCTTCTCAAAAGTTATGGTAGGTAATGCTTTAGCGAATAAATCTATTGGATTGTCACTTTGATGTATTCTTCCTTCAATGAAATAATGCAAGCAGAATTATCCTTATATGATATTGTTGGAACTTCTTTTGCTGATAGATAAACCGCATGTCTCTCGGATATGATGGATCGTTGATCTTAGCCACATTCTCGACTTACCTCATGAATTGATATTTCGCATAATTTGAAGATATGACAACTATAGTTTGCTTCATAGAACATCAAGATATAGTTGTATCTCTATATGTAAATATATAACAAGTTGTGATCGAGCTTTGTATGGATCGAATAAATAATCCGCATCCGCATAACCAATTTATCTTGTCTTTGATTTATTGCGGTAATATAAGGCTATATCAATTATTCCTCGAAGATAACGTAGTATATATTTAATTTAATTTCAATGTCTCTATATTGAAACAAAACTATGACTTGCTAATAAGTTTATAGAAAAGACTATATCGAGTCGAGTATTATTAGTAAGATATATCAATACATTAGTGACACTAAGATATGATACGTCAAGACCAAGTAGCTCTTCGTTACCTTCTCAAGGTCGAAAATAGTCTTTTTGGATATCAAGTGAATGAACTACCATTGGACTAGTCAATGAATGATCTTTATATAGAATCATTGCAGAGCTTTTTCCTATACAAATTGATCGATGAATAAAAATCTCATTCTCCGAGTGCTCAAACTGCGAGTCAAGATAACATTTTGTTTTCCTAAGGTATTAACATCAAATTCTTTTTTAGATAACTTATGAAACTTGGAGTATCTTTAGGAGTTTCAATAATATTTAAGTTATCAACATATACAACGGACCATTTTTCAAATAAAAATATATGAACAAATAGAGTTTTTTTTTATAACTTTCTTTTAATAAATAATTACCGAAGTGATTATATCATATGCACACGGAGTTAGTGATAAACGAGTAGATAGAAAAATAAAAGATAAAATAGTATAATATAAATTGAATTTTTAAAAACTAAAATAATAAAATAAACTAAAATAATCCTAATAGAGACCTCTATAATTTAATTGAATTATTTTCTCAAAAATATGTATTACATGCTTTTGGCATGGTAAGTCCTTCTAGGACTTTCATACCGATATCATTTCAAATGAACAAATAAACTGTGATCACATTCATTAAATGCATGCATATGAATTTTTTCATATATTTTACTAGGCTAATGAGATAACAAAATATAATTGCATCAATTATAGGAGAATATGTCTCCTCACAGATCAATGTCGATTCTTTACAAAAATTTTGTGTTAAAAATTTTGTTTTGTATCTTATAATCTCATTTTTTTAATTTCATTTTCGCATAAATACATATTGGTATCCCACTAGCTTAACATCTTCAAGTATTTTAGCTATGGGTTTAAAAGCTATTATTTTGTAAGAGAACATAATTCTACATGGATTGCTCTTTTCATTTAGGCCAATCATCTTTATGTCGACATTCTTCAATACATTTTGGCTCGGGATCCTTATTTTCATTCAAAATTTCAATTGCAACATTATATGCAAAAATCTTATCAATAAATATTTCTTTTTGATCCTACTTCCTTCCTCGTATTAACATAATTTATCAAAATCTTTTGATTTTTCTCAACCATTTGAACTTTTTCGGAAGTCTATTATCGAAATATCTTGGATCATTTTATGAATATTTAAATCCTTTATATTTTCATCTTGTCCTCTTTTTTTAAGGATTTTTATCTTTAGAATCGATCGATCTTCCACACTTCGGGCATGCTCTAGATTCATTAGCTATATCATTAATAGACTCGTCCCTTTAAGACATTAATTTTAATAGAAGCATTCTCAATGAGGACATGTATTTTAGTTACTCTTTTAGGATATGAGAACGCATCTAGCAGCTTGGTTTGTAATACCTTGTAAATGAATTACCTACTCGAACTTCTAGTTCACATTGTTTTGTACCAAATGATATAAAGATAGAGTACTTTGTGTAATCTCTTTTTTCTAATATTTTCAACTCGCTTATTTTTGTATTCTCTCCCCCGATGTTGAAAAAATTGTTTCATCAAAATGACATTCGATAAATTAAGTTGTAAAAATATCACTTATTCATGATTCAAGATATTTAATTATCGAAAAGGATTCAAATCCAAGATATATTCTCAATCTCCTTTAAGTGCCCATTTTATTTCATTATGAAGGAACATTACGGATGTACACTACAATGTCAAAAATTCTTAAATAAAAAATATTTGACTCATGACCATAAATCAATCGAAGATGAGAGAATTTCGATAACTTATGGATC